AATGTATTGAAGTCAATGGGGAGAGAAAGATTATCTTTCGATCCCGTTTGAATTGTACCACGAATTACACATATGATGTTTGTCAATTTAAAAGATAATTTTGCAAGTCAAAACAATTAAAATGTGTCGTAAAACTGTGAAGTTCCACATTTCTTTGTGTGAAGCGCTCAACTCTGGTCTTGCACACGTCACCAACACCAAGATGGCCGTCACGTTGGTACATTTCACCTCTTTCTTTCAGAATGAGGCGAAAAGTATTAAAAGAGGTGAAAATCACTACAAGTCTGGGCATGTTGAGAGCTGTACATACGAAAAAGGGGAGTTAGTTGGTTCAGTAAGAGCCAGCATGCGGGACCGGCTTTACAATGTTTCGGTGAGTAACACGAGTGTAATGTGTAACGTTAATGTCAGCTAGCTAACATTAGCTAACAAGGTACACTCTCGTGTTTTGTTTTAGTTGCTCTTCGAGAACGAGCAAGAGGTACTATTACTGGTATGATAACAACCTGGTACAAAGCACACAGGCATCTTGTTAAAGTAAGTAAGTAAAGTGAGTAAATGTATTTTTAGCTATCTGGAGGGAACACATCAGTTATGACAGCACTTACTCGACTCTGGGATTTGTAGTCTTTCAAGTTGCGTATTTTTCATAGTCTTATATTTCAACAGTTTTAAGACAAACTTTGAATATTTTGACATGGAATTGATTTTTTAAGATTGACAAACAACATATGTGTAATTCATGGCACAATTCAAACGGGATCAAAAGATACGTTTTCTCTCTCCATTGACTTCAATTTATTATTTTTTCGGAATAAGGTCCCATGATGCGGAAGTAAGTGGGCGTGACTTCGCCACTCTATCGGTATATTGGTATATGTACACCATAACGGTGCACAGCTGATAGAAAGGGACACCTGGTGGTTAAAGCACGTTATTGAAATGTATTATTTTTATTATTAGATATTAATAGGAGACACAGACAGACAAACTAATAAGGCTTTATTTAAACATTAAAGAATACTTTAGGTTAAGGTCTTATTTTGAATAAGAAAAAAGCTTTGGGGGTATACATATTAAGCCTGACAAAGTACTAATATATTGCTTTCCTGCAATGTTAACTACTGTATGTTTAAGCACTTATTTTAACTGTTATTATACATATGTATTATACTCTTATAAGATGTATGTAGATAGTATAAGAAATGTGCAGAATATGACAGTTTAATGGTGGAGGTATACAGTACACACATATTGATAGGTGTCTTGTAATGCACTGTTGAGGAACCTGCGACCCAGGTTTTTCATCTCCGACCTTGTCAGGTATTGAACAATCAATAAATAAAGAACACAGAATTATTCAATATAAAACACAGAATTTGTGTGTTAATGATTTACAAATAAACACCACTGCATATTTACAACTGTTACACATGCTATCTATGTCTATGATATTAACCTATGGATTAACTACAGCATCGTTTTTATCGTTTTAATGCCATTGAAGACCAGTTTTGACCAGACAACCAAGGTAAGCCATGTTAGCGTTTTAGGCTACCTAGCGCCACATGTTTTGATGTACGTTTTTGTTGATAACGTCGCGAGTTTGTATCTTTCAGTGTTGAGGTGGGCACCGTTAGATTCTGTGTCTTTACGATCATAAACGATGTGTTGGATGTGCAGATAGGATAAGTAATAAGGGAGCTAGGAGTGATTTTTGGTGCAGTAATAGGTTAGCATTTTTCGCTCGGGGCTAATTCAGAGGGTCACTGCATTGTGTGTTTTTTTTTTTTTTTAAATGAAAAAGATCAGTTAAATGAGTTTTTTCCCGTTATATGAACCGTATCCGTGGGGCTTTAGAGGTTACGTGTTCACTATAACATTGTGAAAAGTTATCATTATTTAGGTGCAGGTTTCAAATAAACCCAGTTGGTTTTCTACCTCTCCCTTCACTGTTTGATATAATTGTGTAATTTAAATTGCTCCAATACATTAAGCTTCATTTGTTACAATACTTATACATATTTAATTTACTTTGTCCCATTTTTATCAATCGTCTGAAGTTGAGATGACCAGGCAGAAAAGAATAACTCTCAGCTGATTTTTTAACATGACTCAGTTTGTTCAAGTCATAAATACTTCATTCTCACATCTGGTAGAAGTTTTTCGGACTGTGGTGGGCCCGATGCTTTGAGACCTGTCACTGACCGAAACCACAATGGACAAATGTTGTGCAATAAGATTTCTTCATCTAGATATTACATAAAAGTACTCAGCACGGTTCAGTCCAGTTCACATCTTTTTAACGTTAAATTGTTTAAAGGTTTCAGGCATGTTTTACGGGGACCATTGAGAGTGCAGCAGGGGACCAGGAAACATTTTGAAGAGGCTGCTCTGGAAAGGCAGTTCAACTCTGACATTTGGCGCATCTTGCAGAGGTCTTCATTTTGGCTGGATACCAAACATGTGGCCAGTTGGAGCCGTCACAATTACCAGACATCTGGACAAATCTGAAGCGTGTGGGCCTAAAGTCTTTCAAGCTGCACTGATCACTGATCTATTGGCATATATGAACACAGAAATAAAACTAAAAGGAGGCTGAATAGTGGACTAACATGCAGACGCATCAAGAAACTGGATTCCAAAAAGACTTTTTTTCCAGCCAAAGCAGACATTTTGAATTGTCATAGTTGTAAAGACACACTAACACTAATGATGGCTCTATTATAGTCCAGTGTTTCAGTAAGCAACTAAATATGAAAGGCGAAGGTGTTCTTTAAATGTTGCTGCTGCAAGGAATTGTGGGATTGCATGTTGTCCTCTCTTTCGTAAAGGATTGTCCAGTGTATGCTCAAGGGGATACAAAAAGGAGGCTTTAAAAAAACCATCTTTTAAGTATTTCGAGAAATAAACCAGCTGCAAACACCGCTGCCACTACACTCAGTCAGGAACCATCCAACAAAGAAAAAGAACATTTCACTGTAGTCAAAACGTTTGAGGAAACGTAAATAATGATAGTGTTGCTTTGTGTCTGGTAAATGAATCAATAATGGGTTTGCCATAACGACAGGGATAATATGTCAATGTTGTAATTTCAGTGTTCCGCTGCATAAAAAGTGCTCAGAAATATAAATTAGCACACCTTTAAACATTAGCAACCATGAGCTACAGGTCATACCAGACAAAGTGAGGCTGCATCTGCATTAACTGTAAGTGCATTTCATCTCTGTTGCCTTAATCAAGTTTCTTGCAACTTACAAAGAAAACGACATCTGTTGCAAACATTGTTTTCAACCTCAAATTTACTTTATTTACTCAATTCTGGTTGAGTCATTCTCTTCTGTTCTGTTTTTCTAAGAACAACGGCAGAACAGAGTAAAACATTTCCTTCTTTAATTGTGTTTCTTCTTTCTTTCCTTCTTTCTTTCCCCCCTCCCACGTAGGAATGTCACATGTGGCAGATGCTCCTCCCCTCTCCTTAGAGATGGGTGAGGGGAAAAGGGGGTGAAGGGCTATGAGGGAGAGATGTGACTGAGGAGTATATAGGGGGGAGCGGAGGAGGAGGGGGAGGAGGAGGAAGAGGGAGGTGTTTTGATCTGCTGTTGCTGGAGAAAATCCACTCCAGACACATAGATTTCCTCCAGATCGACCAGGAGGCAACTTTAAAACCTCCAGCCGACAAAGTTTCCTTCTGCTCTCCACGCTGACTTTGACATCAGAGAGGAGCAAGCTCTCAAGACTCATCCTTTTGTTCTCTGAATTCCCTTTGATGTCTCCTGAGACTTCTTAAGGACCTCCAGAGGAAACTGTGCATCTGCAGGTCAGATGTTTGTGATTTGGGGTCTACATTTAGTTTGATATTCAGGGGTATTTCTTGGAGTACGTTTGGTCTGTTTCCTCCCAGCCTGCGTTGTACTTTCATTGGAGAAATGAGGGCTGAGGTGCTGGTCGTCTGGGCAGCTGTGATCCTGTGCTGCGCTCTGGTGTGTGCTCGAGAAGATGTCAAGGAAATCAAAGTCTCCAGGGACCAGATTCAGGTGCGAGAAACCCGAGGACTGGTCATGCCCATGAGACAGGGGGAAGAAGGAGGTGTTGAAATGTCAGATGATCCTGCTGAGGTGGTGGAAGAGGAGACCAAAAAACCAAAGAAAAAGAAAACACCCGAGGAAATTGAGGCAGGTAAGAAGGAGGTATGATGGTATGACTAACACAGACACACAACTTATAATATTGGACGAGTTTAGGCATTTAAAGGGCATACATGTGCAGATTCCTTTGAACTTTTCTGGCCTCTGAGCATGCTGCCACAGCTTGCAGCCAATACTCTGAGGATACACAGACAGGAAAGGCTGCAATCAATCTCTGTGGAAGGAAAACATTTGGTTTGAACTCTGTTACCTGGTGCTGCCTCTGGCTTTCTCTCTTCCACAGATTTATTTGACTATAAGACAACATATGGTCACAAAAACCTTTGTTAAAATCTGACCACATGCGTTTTTTGCTGCAGAAGAGATGGGGAATTTGTTTTGATAAAAGTGATTCAGAGGTGACGGGGCAGCAACTTGTTGTGATCCAGTTGGTGGTCTGACATTTTCTTGGCACCAACAAGACCTGCGCTCTCTGGCAGGAACACAGGTTGTGCACTCACGTTTTGTCCAGCATAGTGATCAGTTGCTACAGTGAGAGTGGCGTCTGTACCTGGATTATGTCTCCAAAAAAGCAACATCTGTGAAAAATACAAACTCGGAGCAACAGAAGAAATATTTCCACTACGATTTTCCGTAAGTGAGCAGATTTACGAGGGCCCGCTTTCAGTAGCATTCATGGCACTGATGTTCTTCAGAATGTTAACTTTCCGCTGCATCAAGCAAAACCACAAGCCAAGCCGTCAGAGATGTTCATGTGTGACTAAGGTAAGTTACATTTCAAGCCATAATTACAGAAGCCAAAACTATTTTTCACTTCCTTCAGGCTCTGTAAATCCGGGGAAGGCTTTGCTGAGCATGCAACTTCTTCACCATCCCTTGTTCACAACCAAATGTTTACAACTTTTGGATCCTTTTACAGGTTGTTGTAATATTCTGTTTATAACATTTACTGCAAGCATAACAAAAGTGTTGTTTGGCCTCACCAGTCCCCATATATACAGCAGCAGGCTAATGCAGGAGTCCAATCACCAACCAGTACTCCTTTGCTGAAATGCCACCAGTCATATAAAAATATGCATTTTATTTAGTTAAGTTGATTAAAAACGGTTTATTAATACAATAGTAAGCTGTCAATTGATCCACCACTTTGGTCCAGATGGAAATATCTCAACAACTATGGATTCTTATGAAATTGAGTTTCTTAAATTCGATTTTTGACACCATGTTGGCCAGTGGTTTCCTAACAAATGTGCACTTGTTAAAGGGAATTATGTCTTGGGCCCGTCGAGCCATATTTGGATTAAGCAATGATTAATTGTCACCATCATGCACATCATTTGATAAAAAAACATAACTGGGATTGAGAAGACAAACCAGAAAAAGCTTTGAGGTCTGATCCTGACAGTGGACCTGTGGATTAAAAGGTTGTTTGTTATTTCTGTGTAGACTCACAGAAAGAAAAGGTGACTGACAGTAATACAAAGTGGCGGCCCAAACACCGGGGGCGAGTAATGGATTGGCAGTGAGGGGTTGTTGTGTTTAAGGAACATCCGGAAACCTGTCTAGCGGAAGAAAACAAGCCGCCTATGTGTATAACAACGGTGGATTAAAAACCCTGAATTCCTTTAAGATACCTTCTCTGTAATAATCCATGTTCAACATGAAACCAACCATTTTCCACTTTTAAGTCTGTAAGCAGCCTCTCATCAAACAGTTGAGAAGGTGTAAGGCGACACTGAGCTGATTGAAGGTTCCCAGACCGCCTCCGTACATCCGTGTGTTTGTCTTTTAATGTCTTGAAAACTAAATGTTGGATTTGCAGAAATACTACCATGCACACACAACACACAAGTGTAATTTACCACACTGCCTTAAAATGCTTGATTTTAATTGTGCTAACTAATTATTTACCGGTTTACTTGGTTGTTTAATTAGGCTACATTTCCTGTTGGTGGTTTTCATAGGTGTATTTTTTTACTTCATGCAGAGCCAGACTTTTTCAATCTTGGTTGAATGGTTTTATGCTAAACTAGGCTAAACAGACCGGACATTGTACAATACACAAAGGCATTATGAAAGATTAGTGTCTCCTCTTAACAAAAAAGCAAGCATACAGTATTTCCCAAATATGTTAAATATTACATTTGCAGAGCAGTCATGCTCCCAGGAGGAAAAAACATGACTATGACCTCTCCTGTTGCTTTGCCAGCAAATCCACCTCTTATATAACTATTTCCTCTGCACAGTATTGACTGTCAAAGGGGAGGTCATTAGGGCTTGGCAATGGTCTCCTCTGACTGCTTTTTTGTTTGGTCTCAGACCAAAACAAACCAATGAACTGGCAAAATTATCTTTTGTGCAGCATTTAAAGTTTATGTTTGTCTAGTTTCAGTTGTTTCGCGTTTTGGTACAGTAAGAAATTAGCTGTAAATATGTCCAACATATAAACAGGCAAGAAGAGAATAAATAATTGGCAGTAAAAGTATATATCTAATACAAAGAAACTACAAAGCTGCTTTACGTGCCATGCTCACATTTTACGGGTTTCAAATAACCAAAAGTGTTCCTCTTTTACCTCGTCTCTCTTTGAAGCCAAGGCAAAGAAAGCAGCAGAGAAGAAAGCCAAGGCAAAGAAGCAGAAAGCTCCTAAACCAACCAAAAAGCCAAAAGCACCAAAACCCACCAAAAAACCCAAAGCACCAAAACCCACAAAGAAGCCAAAGGCCCCCAAAGGCACCAAGAAGCTAAAGATGACGACCACGGTGCAGCCGGACACCAAGCCATCCTCTGTGGACGAGGAGGAGGAGAGGCTGCTGATTGGACTGGGCTGGGGAACGGGTATGTACACTACTGTTTATCCACCTGGTCACATGCCAGTACAACATTAAAACCACTGGAGTCATTGTACAAACAAACAGTCAAAATACTGGACAAGAAATCTGTTTACTCGCATCACTGCCCAATACACAAAAAATACAACTTGTTGAGCTGGGAATTATTTAAATTCCAATTCAAGACCTGGTTAGTAAGGAATCAGCTCTGCCAACACTGACACAATCTTCTGCTCCTTACAACCCAGTGTCTGTGCACTGCCTGTGTTTTATCATGTTCTTTTTGTTTTGTTTGTTTTATGAACTATTCCAGTAATGTATGTTGCATGTTTTTATTTGATTGTATTTACTTGTTTAAAATGAAATGTGTCTTTTGGTTGACTAACAACATCTGTCCAGGGACTACAGATAAATAATAGCCTCTTGGAAATCTGAAGTCTATTCTTGTAAAAAAAAGTATTTCACCACCATTCTCTATCCTTTTAACTTGATGTTCACAGTGAAACGACCTGCTGTGACCCCAATGACGCCTGCAGAGAAAGAGCCAGAGGAGCCGGGCCTGGGTGAGACCCGGAGACGGTTTTAGTTCTTTCACAAATGTTACTTTTGGTGTTTTCTATTCATGCAGACATCTCCATAGAGCCAACAATTCAAACAAAAACTCCCAATGAGCCCGGCACTGACTACTGGGTAGTTAGACTTTTTTCTCCAACATCCACTCAGTCGGAGCCAAAGACTTTATGGAGCCTTTTATGACGCAGCTCAGAGGTTCCAGTGGGCTATGAGGGCTGTGATGTGAAAAAGGACCTGGAGGCTCCATCAAATCAGCACACTGCTAGTTTCCTTAAGACAGATTTATTATTTAGATGTTTTCAACACTTAAAGACAGACTATAATAAAGACTTTTAAGGAAGACATACAAAGAGGAAGATTTTTTTTTTATGCGGTTTTATTTCCCCTAAAATGTCAATGGACTTATGAGCTTATAACGTCTTTTGTTTGATGTCAGAGATTGTGCCATAACATTTGATATTAACACAGCATGTGCTCTGTGCTTCACAGATGTGCGGCCTGTTGGATATCCTGATGACAAAAAAGCCACAACTACTGAGGTCATCATGTTTATACCAGGTTTGGGTTCATTTAAAGAATTGATTTCAAAGAAGAGAGGGTTCAACATGGTATACTTTGTTTGACTCATTATTAGTTTGTCTTACTTTTACAATTAGAGTCCGATTAATTTAATGTAACTTAAGGATCAAAATAATTAATTTAAAACAAATTTGAAAATAAATGACAGTAACTTTTGAGAAATATACCAGAGTATCCTAGTTTTATTATTTGTGTAGTTATTATATTTTCCTTATTGTATTGTGAATTCCTATGAACACTTTTTTTATGTAATGTAATTAGGTCTCTATATGTCCTTGACGGAGTGATTGCAAAGTAGGCATATGTTTTATCACTTATTTCCTTCTGTTTCAGAGGAAACCACCAGTGTCCCATTTGTCGTCCCCTGGTATGAAGAGTATGATTACGCTGACTGTACGTCAATCATTTGGATAGATACCAACAAATAAATGTGCTGCTGTTTTAGCTATGAATCATTTTTAACGAAATTAAACATGAATTGTTTCTGTTTCTGATTGTCTCCTCACAGTGGCTGCTAAGAGACAAGAAGAAGAGGAGGATAAAGCTCGCAAAGAAAAGGCAGAAAAAGGTTTATAATCTAATTTTCCTTGAAATTGTTTGGATCAATCCGCCACTGAAAATAGTCCCATACAAAGGTTTTATTTTATTTTATGAAAAATAGAGTGACCATCAAGAAAATAATACTCCTTTTTAAACATGAAACTATGATAAATTGAGGTGTTTTTTTTAAAGATTGTTAACCCTTAGATGCACGAGTGACTGGACCCTACACTCTTTTTTTATATTTTGAAAAAAAAACGTAATTCCATTGAAAATGCATGCGGGTCATTTTTCACCCACTTGAAGCTTTGGGTAGTAATACAAAAACTACCATTTCTTAAAATGCATAAAATGTCAATTTAAAATTTGAATGGCATGATATCCAAAACATGTTTTTTGAGGAATAGCTGGAATATGAAATGATAAAAAAATGTAATTGCAAAGATACTCTAAGAAAACCACCTCACCGGGTCAAAAAAGACCCTCTTTTATCCTTTATTCTTCAGTGTTCTTTTAAAGACAATTTTAGAACAAAAGGTTCTGGAAGAGATAGAGGATGGAGGAGGGATTTCCAACAGCTGTCTGTAAAAGCCTTACACAACATTTTGGTATTTCCTGTAAAGTCAAATATAAAATCACATCACATATTTTCACAGCCTTAAATACATTCGCTAAAATAGACTAAACTAATCAATGTTAAAGGCAAGAAACACATGAGGAATGTATGAATGGGAATGAAGGTGCATTGTGCGAGCACATATGAAAATATTTTGGTGTAGGTGGTTGGCTGGAGATCAACGTCCATTTGAGAACATGTTTTGACACATATTGTTTCCTCGTTACACTCTGAAGCTGAGCGGCTGAGGAAGAAGTGGGAGGAGGAAGAGGAGGAGCGACTGAAGCAGATTTCAGAGCCTGTGGAACCAAAAAGTAAGAGAAATACTGTCAGGAACACAAATCCTTTTAATTGGTGGATTGTAACTAAGTACTTATACCAACTAACAGTATTCACGTACTTGTACACTACTCATCACAATTTGGTTTTTGATGCTACTTTAAACTTTTACTTTACTACATTTCAGAGCCAAATGTTGTACTTTTTACTGCATTTACAGTTTCTGACAGCATACATTTACATTACTCTATGTCTATATCTACATCAGTAAAATGCCACATACATATTAATACAGCAGTAAAATCCTATATAATAGTAAAACACAATTTCCTGCCAATGAGTACTTCCACTTTTCATTCTTTTAAGTACATTTTAAAGTATTAAGCTGAAAGCCTGCTTTTGACAGGAGTGTTTACACAGTGTTTAATTTGAGCTTTACTTCCGGAAAGGATCTAAATACTTTCACCACTGTTCAATTTTTTTAATCCATTAGAACTTTTTTAAACTACTACATTGTCTTTAAAGGACATCTTGATTAAAAAGAAAAAATGCTTTCAACTCACTTGTTAAAGCCGTTCTGTGGCTTCCAAGAATGAATCAAATGTGTGTTTTGAATCAGAGTATTTCTGAAACATTGAACACACCCTGTTTCTGTTTGCTTTCCCTCTCAGAGTGTCCTCCTCTTGGCCTGGAGTCTCACCGGGTGGAGGACGACCAGCTGCTGGCGTCCTCTCAGTCTCACTACGGCTTCACGGCTCAGAGGGGACGACTCAACATGCAGGTAGGCTACACATAAAACACAATAGTTACTTTGGGAATATTGAAAGTCTGCTCTCAAAGCAATTATCCGTCTCCTGTCTCAGAAAGATGTGTTTCCTTGCAGGGCTCTGATAATGAGGACGATCTGTTCGGAGGTGCGTGGTGCGCGGAGCCGGAAGAGAAGGTCCACTGGTTTGAGGTGGATGCCCGCCGAGAGGTGGAGTTCACCGGGATCATCACTCAGGGGAGAAACTCAGACCAACTGTGAGTCGAGTTTTGTGATTCATTGTTTTGTATGTCACATTTATAGAACATTGGAAGCCCATCTCTGCAGGAAAAATGAGGGCAATTCAACTTATTTTATTAAGAGATTTATCATTAAAGAAGTAACCTCAGGGCGCTTTTCATACAAAGCAAGTCTAGACCAGACTATTTAAATGTGTATTTACAGAAACCTTACAATAGTCCAATAGCGAGTCCAAAATGTCCTCACCTTTAGCTCCGTTTTTGGTCTCTACCAACTCCTGGCGGAAGTATCTGTCACCTAGAGGCTAAATGCTCCACTATGTTCACCTGCGAGTCTCTTACTGTGTCCGTCTGCTGAGGAGGTAGTGTTGATTGGATTTTCCCGGATGGCTAGAAAGCGGGAAATTCAAATTATGTGACTGAACCAAAACAGTAAATGTTGGAGGCACAAAACAAAACGTGAGCTGAAAGACACAATATTGTTCCTAAGAGCTGAAAGGAACTTAAGTATAAACAACTATTCATAATTTTGACTTAAGACATTATTTTCTCCTGTCAGAAATGAGCTTCCATACGGGTCTGTTAAAAATGTTTACTGATTAATCAAACATTTTTCCTATAGGGAGGATTTCGTCTCCTCCTATTTTGTGTCCTTCAGTAACGACAGCCGTGACTGGACTATACTTCATGATGGCTACGCTGAATGGGTTAGTTAAAGATAAATAAATAAAAGCTTCAAATGACAGATTAAAAACGTAATATTCTATTCTGTGTGATGGTCCTCCTGCAGTTGTTCTACGGGAATGTGGATAAGGACACGCCGGTGCTGAGTCAGTTTTCTACGCCCGTGGTGGCGCGGTACATCCGCATCCTGCCGCAGAGCTGGAACGGCAGCTTGTGTCTCAGAGCGGAGGTCCTGGCCTGCCAACTACCCAGTCAGTATCACAGAAAACATACTACAACACCACTGACCTTATCTGTTATCAGGAGTAAATTAATTGTCTCTTTCTGAAACTATGAGGCCTTGGTTGAAGCAGTTTTACAGGTCTTTAAAGAGTTTAATGACCTCGTGAGGCACAGAGCTTTCTCATTCCTTTCAGGGATATGTCATCCTCCACTGGGAGAATAACAAAACTTTTTGCCAAACTTGAAGATAGAATGGTTTACACAAGAGTCTGTTTCACAAAACAAACTTCATGACATCAGTGTTAGGAAAAGTGTTTTACATGGTAACTAAATCAAAGCACAACTTTGTTATACAACATTTCCAAGTGGTAGGAAGTTTCTAAGAACATTTATTCATCTACTGTCCTTGGTGCATCTCAAGGGGTTTATCCCAATAAATAAAATGTCTATATATTACAATGTTGAGGTACTTGATTAATAATGCTGAATATGATAAGAAATAAATAGTTATTTATCAGATAAGGCAAAAACTATTGTGAAGTGAACCTTGAACTCTACCTACAGTAGCAGTATATAAAATAAAGTGAAAGCTGCAAAATCTATAAATGCATTGCTGCAACAACAATTATTATGTAATAGTATAATTATCCTGAAATTGTGCATGTGTGCTTTTACTTTTGATGCTTCAAGTATATTTGAATGCTAATAGTTTCTCAGTTTAGTTTTTTAGTAATATTTTAATGCAAGACTTTAATATTACAGAGATTTGCCAATTTTACTAAAACAGCAGAACTTCTAGTGTACTATGAGCGTGTCAATTCTTTCAGGCAGCTACCGCAGTGAGAATGAAGTGAACTCCTCAGACGAATTGGACTTCAGACACCACAACTACAAGGACATGAGACAGGTCTGTTTTTAAGTCGGATCAAAAACTACTGCCCTATTATAATTCTGAGAAGAACAATATCACAAAAGAGTTTCCTCTTGTATCTCTCTTACAGATGATGAAGGTGATCAACGAAGAGTGCCCTAACATCACCAGGATCTACAACATTGGTAAAAGCTCGCAGGGCCTGAAGATGTACGCCATGGAGATCTCTGACAACCCAGGAGAGCACGAGACAGGTTTGAGAAACAGACAGCAAAAAAAAACATCTTTACCAGATAAAAGATCATTGTCATAATTGTACAATAATTGTGTCCCCTGTACAATCGACAATGCAAAAAGTGCTTTAATATACAAACATTCAACCTTTCTGTAACCTTAGGAGTTGGTTTTAGTGTGTTTCGTCTCATTAAAACATATTTTCGGGGTCCATTTGTATTTACCCATATCTTCTCACATTGGCCCGCCTTCTAGCCAATCATTCGTGGTGTAGTCAATGAACTTGAAGCTTGAAAGCATGGGAAGCTAAGTTGAAGCTAGTTTGCACAAGAGATAGCTAAACTAGAAAAATGTGATTTTTGGACACATAATCCTTTTCACACATCATTAGCTAAAAACAGCGATGTGGGTAGCTACAGTATGTGTCAAAAAGTACTTGAAAAAAGTTCTATTTACACCTATTTGTTCTCGTGTTTATGAATTACCTATGATACTTCCTAAGAAATACGATAAGTAGTGTGTGTTTACGTAACACGACTACACAGGATTCATGACTATAAATAAAGCCGCATTTCTTGAGGTTTATAAATCTGCGTGCTGTTGCTTTCTAGGTGAGCCTGAATTTCGGTACACAGCTGGTCTCCATGGTAACGAGGCGCTGGGTCGTGAGCTTCTTCTCCTGCTGATGCAGTTCCTGTGCAAGGAGTACAATGATGACAACCCCAGAGTGCGCCGCCTGGTGGACGGAGTGAGAATACACCTGGTGCCTTCACTCAACCCTGATGCTTACGAACTGGCCTACGAGATGGTATGATGAACATAAATTAAACATTAATAAACGTTGGCTTAACTTAGAAAGAATACCGGTATCCGCAGTCATTGCCGGATTCAGGCTTTCTTAAGAGGCAGGTGCAAAAAAAGATGGGCACCAGCAGCATGTAGGGGTAGCCTTTAAAAGTCACATAGTATACAACATCAAATTGTTCATGTCTTTTATACATAAACAAGTGTCCCCTCTGTGTAAAGAGATTCTGAAAATGTCAGGAAAAAATATTTGCTCTCCATTTGTCCTGAACCATTTATATAAAAACCTGTCTGAAAAGGAGCTGATCAGATCTTGGCCACTTTGTGATGTCATAATGTGTTTTTGGGTTGTGTAACCATTAGTCCATTAAGCCCCTNGATTTTCCTTATCTCTGTGGCGTCTTCGCGTATTCAATCTCGCTACAGAGCAATAAAACTGCAATTCCGTTTTCAAATATCAGAGCAGGCCATTCCTACGCTCTGTAGCGAGATTGAATACGCGAAGACGCCACAGAGATAAGGAAAATCCACCCAAATGGCCCCAGAAGAGGTTGTTTTTGCTAAATCTGTCTAAAAATGTCAAATATCACTTGTTTTGCATCAATCTTGATACAGGGTACTTATTATATGTTGTACTTTGGATTCCTAAAGCTTTTAGTCTACTAACCCATCATCCAAGGTTAGTTTTCACTATAAGTACAAAATATGTTTTGGACGGACACTATAATTTACAGTTTTTAAACAGTATCTAAACATCTATATTGATTCTGACTTTTCTACATCCAACTCACAGGTTTATCATTACTTTGAGAAAAAAGATTATTAATTTAACCCTATTAGAAGGGAAGATATGGTCATTTGTTCTGGGAATATCATTTTCGAGCCTGAAACCTGAAAAACAGGCTTGGGGTTTAAGAGGTTTTGAAGGTAATACACCGAAAATATTATGACTTTATAATACAAATGGCCAACAATTGGATCGTCACACTAGTCTGTTATAGGCCCCAAACACAGGACAGGACTTCAGAGAGGGATTGGTTGGTTAATACAATCAGGGATTAGGATATAGTGAGGTCCCCCCCACTAATGGATATTTAGCTGATCAAAATGCCATGATGCTATGCACGACACAATAGGTGGCGATATGGCTTTTGAAGTTGGTTTGTATTCCGAAAATGTACCCAGATAAATAGTAGAAGAAGAAACTCAAAACAAAAGCACATGCTGTTTCCTGTCAAAGATTCATGTAAGTGTATCGTTTTGACAGGATAAGATCAAATATGGCAAGTAAATCAACTCATAAATCTAAGTTCATGCTTTAAGACGAAGATTTGGAGGAGAATGCTGACGACTCTGCTGCACCAAAGTTTAGATTTTCTGAGGACCAGAGAAAGTTTGGAGAGATGATAGACGAAGACCAGTAGGTAATGTCATTTTGGAATGATCAATGTTATGATAATGTAGGCTACAGTCTAAATAAACTGTAATTTGGATAGCAGTCCTATTGTCTTTGCGCACGAGTAAACAGTTTGCGCAACAAGCTATTCAGACATACCTGTGTGCATGTGCCTTGCAGCAACAGCAGTGAGAATGAAGCACAGCCTCAGGACAAGTATAGGTTTAAAAATGAGTCATGAAACCAGCAAGATTATATTAATAAAAGACATATCTATCAACTTAATAAAAGTAATGTATGTGCTGATGTTCATGGTAATTCTCAACCTATCAAAAACAGAGACATGTGTGAAAGCTTTTTTCATGTTCCATTTCCACATACAGTGAAACTGAGTTAGTGAGCAGGAAAGGAGTCTTTTAATGATGTTATGTCCCTGCAGTACAATGCTGACCTGGTTTCTGGCGACCATATACAGGTGACAGTTTCTACTCCAGCCATTTTATTATCTTTACTCCAGCATGGAGAAAGGCATGTCAGTTCCCCAGGAACTGCATGATTGATGCCATGAAGAATTCTTGGACATTAGATGGATATTTAAAGATGAAAATGTGCATAACAAATACACAAAAGAAGCTATAAACTTCAAATTTCTTCAAGCACATTTCAAGGGAATATGTGTCGTTATCTTTGTTGAGTTTTTGTTATGATTTGATTTGCTGTTTTGAATCAAATAAGTGAAGATTCAAGTTCTGTTTTATATTTTTAGGCTTGTATCCCATTTGATATCATATCTATTGAGTAATATGTACGATTAGAAAAAAACTTCATGATGCAAAAAAAACTTGATAAGACAAAACTGTTATAAATACATTTTATCAGATTATATTTCCAATATCATTCACTCTGACCACCAGGGGGCGCTTTAGGCCCCCAAATGTATTTTAAATGTTCCAGCAGGAGTGTCAAACTCAATTTCATCGCGGGCCACATTCGCCTAAAGGTTGCACTCAAAGGGCCGGTTGTAACTATATAAATATATAATATATAAAATAATGTATTAAATTACATTATTGCCTCTGAATTGGATTATTATTAGATAGGATAATAACTTAGTAATTAATTACGTCTGAAAGCAGAAGGCCAGGGCAAATAATTGCAAGTCTCTTCAGTGCATGTCACAAAACGAGATGCATTGTGGGACATGTAGTTTATGGGCAACCTGCTTCTGTAAAGTAGCATTTAACCGTATAATAAACGTATTATATTCTTTGCAAGCTCTTGCGGGGCCACATAAAATGAAGTTGCGGGCCGGATTTGGCCCCCGGGCCTTGAGTTTGAGACCCCTGTTCTACAGGAAGCAGAGAAAATACATTTTATATATTAAAAACAAACATTTCTGACATTTTGATTGTACACAAATCCTTCAATCAGAGGTTTCCAGCAGTGTAGATCAAGTATTTTATGAAAGACATAAAAAAAAAGTGAATGCATCGTGCCTGACAGGAGAACAATATGTATGACATATTCAAACATATACTTAATCATGACAGAATATAGAAACCACATAGTTAATGCAATCAATCATATTCTTCATAAAGTTGAAGAAAGAGTATAATTCATCAAGTAAATAAAGGTAATCCAGTGTTTAGTGTGTATAGTCTTTTTCCTGGCCTGAACCAAATCTGGCACAGTGCCTGACCTTATGGGACCTTTAGCAGGATGGCATGTTGCCCATTGTGGCTGTGTCAACATAACCATTCAATGTGAGGGCCGTTTCCTCCTGTAGTGGCATGACAGTGTACATGCAGGCTGTAGGCTTCTGCGTAGTGCTAACTGTGGAGGACGTGTACCAGTTTCCTCCTTCTCCATTTGTCTCCTGGTCCACTAAAGGGCATACGTCTTCCCCTGTCCCCTCTCTCTGCAGCAGTAGCCTGTTATCACAGTCCACCCCCTTCACTTTGCTATAGTCCTCCCCCTTGGGCAAGTTGGGGCAACCTTCAATGTGGCCACACCTGGACACCACTGGCTGCAGGAGCACCATATCCTCCTTGTTGACCCTCTGGACTTCAACGTACTTGGTGGCGGGCGATCGTTTGCGTCCGATGTTGGAGATGTTGACATCGCTCCGGGTTTGGAGTTCCCGATGGGCCAGTGTCTGGGGATGGAGATGATTTTGTTTGTTGCTCAAGCAGAAGTCCGTGATGCTCGGTCCCAGAGCGTCCTTGGTGCCAGGATGGGTGAGGAAGGAGGATGTGGAGAGGGAATGCTGCTTGGCCGTCTCAAGTGAGCTCTGTTTGTCCAGGGGGTTTGAGCCATATTGAGGCAGTGGAGAATACACCGAGGGCCAGGTCTTCACCTTCCCACTGGTGTCGTGGTTGATAGCTTCCTCCTTCCAGCCCCGTGTCTCCATCAGACTGCTCTCCCGATTTGTTTGCCCCTCTTCTTCTTTTGTTTCGCCGCACTTGTCCATCAGCAGAGTGTGGCTGTCGCAGCTGCCCCGGCCTGAGTCACTGTCTGATCTGGAGTTCTCAGATTTAAGGCAGCCGTCAAGTAGATCCTTGCTCTCCTCCAACATCAGCTCCGGCTCCTCTGGGACATACACCTCTAAGTACTCCACCAGCATCTCCTCGTATTTAGATGTTGAGGCCGGAGGGAAATTGGGCACAACCAGAGCGCTGAAGATCTCGTCAGAGTTGCCATTCTACACACAGAGAGGAAAGCTTGATTACAGAAAAGCAGTAATGCAATCAGTTGATATTCTCAGAGTTACTTTATAAATCTGAATTTGTTCACATGTGGTTGTTTTACCTTGAGAAGCTTATTATCAAATCCTTTGATTTTAGGACCAGGGACTGGCGGCAGGATACAGTGCTTCAGACTTCTCACACAGGAGAAAAGAGATATATGTCAGGGATGCAGACAAAATTAATAAATATGAGAAGAAAATATAAAATCGGGAGTATAAGGTTAAGTGTCACATCCTCTGGAGATATTTAACAGTTTCTGGAAAATATCACGGATTCATATCACATCAAAAAAGGTTGAACGAACAAACTTAATGGAATATTCATTATTATGGTTTTTACCTGTGACTGTTCATGTGCAGCAACCATGTGAGGATGAGGAAGATGAAGGCAGAAAAGACTGCAACGAGGATCCACATTGACTTCTCCCGATGGAAATCTTTAACACACATCGCAACAACGCAAGTTATTTCTTCCTAATATTATTGGATTATAAAGTTTATTGCTTATTTATTAATGATAATCATTCTACTTATATTCCATCACTGGAGACTAAAGTTAGCTTAGCTTAGCACAAATAGAGGAAACAGGGCAAACTGCTAGTCTGGTTCTGTCAAGATAGCAATTAAGTATATTTTAAGAAAGTAAATGTAATATACAGTATATGTGTTCTGTAATGTTAGTAGAGAAGGCAAGACAAGTTTATTCATAGAGCATATTTAAACAAAAATAAGTTAAAAGTGCTTTACAAAAATAATAATGACATTATAGTAGTACGTAGATGTCTTACAGTCAGGAACTTTGACGTAGGAAGTGGAACTCCATTCACTCCAGAAGCCGTGATCGGGTTTACAGCGCACCTCGACAAGATATTTCCCCCCCGAGCGCAGGCTGAAAATGTTAAACATCTTCTGCTGGCCTGCATGGTGCATCTGGAAAAACAACACAATAACACAGTGAGCAGATATGCACAGTGTGTTGGAGCTATACATTGTTTTGTAATATTCTAGAGTTTATTTTCTTGCTGTTTTGTAGTAAGTTGATCATTATTTTGTGTCGTTATTTAAGTTAATTTGAGTTATAAATCAGCTTCAGGCCCTGGGTGATTTGGGCTTTGTTTGCAGACAGATAGAGGAGGGTTTGGACACCGGAAACTCAAATGATTTTTTTGTTTTTTGTATCATGGTAAGAGAGGATGTAAAAAACAAGGTTCTTTGTGCTGTTTGATTGTTGGAAAGGGAGAAAATATAGGCACAAAAGGAATTATTTCCCTGGACAATCGACTTTATCCTGCGTAAAAATACCTTATCCTTTGGCAGCTTAACTTTGAGTGTTTTATTTGTTTTTGGTTTGAGGACAAACAGCTGCCACAATATGTCAATATATACTTAGTATACAGTATGGTTAAAATATTGGAGTAGATATTAGAGAAGGTTAAAGCGCAGTACAGCACCTCAGGACTAGTTCACTAACATGATCACTGGAACATTTGAACCATTGATTGGCTCCCTATGGTGAGCACCAGGTGACGTACCTCCCAGTCATCCTCCTCCTCCTCCAGCCTGACGCGGAGCTCGTAGATGAGAGTGATCCAACCGGAGCGGGTGTCAGCTTTATGTGGCGGTTCCCATGACACAAGGAGGAAGGGCCAGCCCTTATCCTCCATGACTGCCACTGTCAGCTTCTCTGGAGGATTAGGCTCGACTGGAGAGGAAGAGAGGAAATGTGAATAAGAGAGGATGTGTTTTCTTTGTTTGAGAGTTAAAAGGAGGAAGATAAAAAGTATTTAAACATTTACATAACCAGGCATGGGAGGATGGGAATATTTCATGTCATAACTACCAACATAATTTTCTTGATAATCTTTAAAATATGCTAAACAAAATTGCAAATCCTGGAATTACTATACCTTACGCTCTGATCATAATTAAAGTGTGTTGCCTATGGGCATAGAAAACACACCTTAACACCATGAAAGGGCATGTGTTGTGCCGTGTGCAAATACCTTGGCTCACGTCCAAGTCAAGTTGAAGAGATGCCAATTAGAAGGCTAAGATGAATAATGACATCAGCGTTGGTAAATACTTGGTGTTAAATAAGTTAAACAAATTAGTGATTTCCATTGCGTCAGAACTGACGTTTAATGGAAATAAAAAGCTTCTTACAGTAGTTTGTAAGCCATTCAGAGGCTGAGCACACGTAATATTATGCAAGGGTTTTTATGGTCTTCATATTAATTCCTTGACACCCTTCATAACAAACTTAACAATACAATCTTGATAATTACTATAAACTCATATTCATGAGTTTTTTTAATTATTATTCAATGTTGCGTTGAGAAGTGGGGACTGTGAAAAGAGGATTATTGTTTTACTTGTTTTTTTATAAACAGCTCCTGATCATTGAAAAGCAAAGAAAATAAAACCTTGGTGAATTAATTGATACAAAAAAAGAGAACAAATTAGGTCTTTTGCGTGAGTCTTCTTTTTTTAGTTAATAATTCCAGTTTTTAAATAAGGCTCTATTTTAAGACTCTATTTTTTAGTCACTCTTTCACAATTATCCCAAAAATGGAAATGTATAACAATCAATTTCTTGTGACTGTTTTATTTACCATGATTTTATATCCAATCCTATATCATATTTAAACCAAGTAGCCAAGTGTGTGTGTGTGTTTGAGATAAATGTTAATATTTAGGCTTTAAGTTATCTTCACGGCCGACACATTGTAAGTTATTGTAAGTTAAGGCAGATAACAGAATCATATCAATGCAGCTATTAGAGACGAGAGCTAGAGGAGCACTTTGAGATAAGCAGCCTCAAGGGAAACCAGTGTTACTTTAAGCCTTTTCATTATTTTATGAAACAGACAACATGCATTTTATCTAGCAACATGACAGAATGGGACCTAATTTCTACCTAATCTAATATTAATATAATGTATTCATAGTACTGCTCACTATTTATATTTAATCAGATGAAATAAAAAGGCTCAAATTGTTCTAAATGTTTCTTTTAGCAAACAAATCCCACGAGGAGACAAAAACCAGCAGTGTGTGTTAGCTAATCTCTCAGTGCTAAACACAACTTGTCTGAGGCTTCCAACCCAAAGCCCCATTTGTTTCTACTTTTAGGTCAAAAACATATAAATATTTAATTGAAAAAATGGCTATGTAATTTCCTAAAACAGCAGGCCATTGTAGAATCTAAAAAAACATCACTCGATGGATATAAAATAGCCTAATTATTTTTCGGACTATTTTCAGCCATGGAGTAATACGTATTCTGTGCTCTGGTTAGTATTTTCAGCTGCAGGACTGTGTTCCTGGGAACATGTCAGTGCTACAGTTGGGCTCTCTTATACGTTTTATATGATAGTGTTGCACAAAAGGATAAGCTATAGGCTTGGAATGGCAATATTTAATAGGAGCATCAGTTCATTTATTAGAAATATAGAATATCAACAGATCTATCCTATAACGTTGCTCAAATTCTCTTAATTTCGACTGCACATATCAACCATTTACTGTAAAAATAGTGACTTTCATTGCACAGTTACAACTAAATGGACGGTGAGTACCCAGATTGCCTTGTCCCCAGTGTTCCACTAAGCAGCTGTGTGTGTTAGAATACACTTTTGTAATCCTTATGGGGCCATTGTGTCTAGAACGAACATCACAATAGCAAACAGAACGTGTTTCCTCACCAATATAAACCACATCTATGTCCACTGGATCGGAGAAGGCCCTCCCCAGTGCGTTGGTGGCCACCACGCTGATGTTGTAGTTGACCCAGATGGACGTGTCGTTCTTGTTGAAGAAGCAGGAGTTCTCTCCAGCTGTGTGGTAGTCGGGACACTCGTACTCCGTCTCGGAGCTGTAAGAGAGGCAGGGGAGCAGCATGTCATCGCATGTGTGCATGTGTACTGTACGGTAACATTTCCAAAGAACCGCATGCATTCTTTATGCTACATTTACTTATACGATATTTGTACTGTACTGCACGGTCACATTTCCAAAGAACTGCATACATTCTTTATGCTACATTTCCTGAAACTTTGTATGAGTGTGTGCAGGACCAGATGAGACACTAAGAGAGGGTGATTGCAAGATAAATAAAAAATACAGAACTAGAAGAACATTTTCTGAGCCATAAACAGCAGCCTCAGCCTCGCCAAGAACACAAACAAACCCCTAGCTGCTTATTCTAAAATGTGAATGAGCTGATTAATAACTTTAGGAAGTCTTGACATTCTTTTTTCCCAAGTTTTTCAATTCTCTCTCTGAACATGACAAACAACCATGTCTTTGAGTCGGATTTGTGACATTGAAGAGCAAAATCGTGTATAAGATGCATGTTGAGCATTGTTCTGTCGACTTCGTGGTGCTTTTTTTAATACTGGGTAGTTTCCTTTTGTTGAACTATGTAGTAGGCTAGGCTATGCCCTTTAGATGAGATGATATTATCTTCCTCATACCGATCACTTTTTGCATTGCTTACATTGCCAAATTCATTCCTATCTTTTAAATCAGAGCCTTATGTCTCCACCACTTCTCAACACAAAGCCTTCTGTTTGAACTTCAACTTCTCCAAAGGCCTGTACGACGAAGCCGGTTCCATATCCATAACCTGGATATGTTAGAGTTACCCGGTTTACCCAAAACAAACGCGCTCTCGCTAAGCGGCCCGACGCTGGTTATCAACTCAAGCCAGTTTTGCCCTATCTAGTTAGGTGCGCGGTCACATGAAAGGGGTGGGGCTAGCAACATTTGACCAATCACAAATATGGACAAGCGTACTGACAGCGCAGCGCGTCATACTTCCTGAATGAAAAGTCAACTTCAACATTATACAAATGAAGACGTTAAACTTTAAACATCCATGACTTAAACACTTTATCCAGGATAAAAGCCACATAGCCTGCAAGGTGAATACAGCTGGTAAAAGAAAAAGCGTTTGAATGCGTACATTAACAGGTTTATGATATCACTGCCCCCCTGAAGCTTCTAAGACAAGAGTGGATCTGACTTTAATTAGGCTACATTTGACTCGAGTGTTTCTTCAACTTAATGTGTTGCTTAAAATAATACTTCTGCATACAGTATGTGACACTGTGATGTTGCACGGCCAGATACGGCCAGATACGGCCCAAGAAGCTGACTCATAAGGAATTATATGATACATTATGATGTGATATCATGTGATATGAATGATAATGGGACACATCGACGTCTGCACTCACAGTGCTGCGGACTGCACGTAATGTTACTTTGATCCGGTTACTTATGTTAACTTATGGCAGATATCTAAGTAAGCTTTCTTAACGCTAATGTTATAATAGTCAGATTGCTCTGAAGATGGGAGGTGATATTCTATTCATTTTCACGTTCACACAATTCCTGCAACTTTCCTGGCAACGGGCAGTCTGAATACTAACCTGAAGCTCTGCGCGTTGGGACCCCTCCGAATTGTTCCCGGGCGTTTGTTTTTTTTTGTTTTTTTTTCTTTTTTTTTTTTTTTTTTTTTTTTTTTTTTTTTTTTGTTTTTGTGTTTTTTTTTGTTTTTTTTTTTTTTTTCACCACTTCATCATGGTGTCTGTTAACATGTGCGACCGCTTGGTACCGATCCAGACGCCGACCTATTACGTGACCTCGGATGTTATATATTTCATTTATAGGCGGATTTCCGCGTGTGCTGATTTTGTAACTCGTGGAGAACCGAAGTTATGTTCGTTGTTTGTGTGGAGGTCTGTCGCAGTTTTCCGGAGAGTCTGACGCGTGGACGGGATGAACTCCGCTCTCAAGATTGTAATAATAATCGTGAGTTAGCGCATTGATTGACTAATTGTAAACAAGCGAGTACCTGTTTTCCTGGCCAAGAAGGTTCTATGAGCACAACACGAGGCGTCACCGTGTTCTTTATGTGCGGGGGTTATATGATGGCCGAAAGTGGTAGGCGTGTGTGAGCAAATAACACGAGTAAGCTGGCGCGCGCTCCAGCCCTTCAAAGTATTTGGGAAGGGTTGTCTTTGGAAGGAGCCTTATAAGGCAGATACACCGGCCCGAGGAATCTGCCTTCTTCGGTTTGAGGTAATATGGGGGTGGTTGTGCTTTGGGTGAGCTCGGGGTTCGAAATGCGTAGGGCACGCCATTAGCTCGCTTGGAAGTGGTGGGGTGTTGTTTGATGGTGTTGTGCGCCGCACCGTGTCTGTGTTCTTTGGCTGGCTCGCAGACCTGACCTGGAACGCGTCGTTTGGCTGTCGGAGCACCGACCGGAAGTCGATCAAATGGTTTTTGAAGTAACGACTCTGATTGTCGTGTTCAGCTGTCAAATCAGGTGCTTGAGAGCTCGCTTAACGGAAAGTGAGGAGTTTGTAGAACAAGATGGATTGTAAAATGAAGAGATGGCAATGGACACTGCTCTACGGACGCTTATATCTGGACCTCTATTGTCTGTCTTGTCCTATAGGAGGCACTGTATCGTTTCAGTTGGTTTTCTCGTATTGTATGGACGATAGGTGAGATGGAAAGAAATTGGAGGCTATTGTTGGTATGTGGTCTATAATTCATTCGTAATAGTGTGGTCATTGATTTTTGTGGAGTCTGTTCTTCTTCTCTTCTTCGGTGGTTGTGGGTCTTGTGTGTTTTTGGGGTGTGAGGTGGTGTTGTGTGGTGTTCTTTTGTTATGTGTTATTTCTCTT